AGATCCAGGATGGGTTCAAAGAGCTGCTGGCATGGTGATGAGAAGCTGCATCGTCATGGTAACTGCTGTTAATTATGAATAAGATCTTAGTTAAAGGGAGCATGGAGATCCTAAATATGAGGGAGCCTAAAATGGATTATTGAGGAATGCCTCCTGTGATTATTGCCTCTCTGATGTAAAATGATCAACTGTTGGTGTTTGGATGGAGGAAATACTGACGTTATGAAGGATTTTGTGATGGAATTGTAAACACTCTTCCTGCTTATTCACATCTGCTTAATACATAGAAACTGGTCCACAGTTTGTATGATGGTCATTTTCAATATGCAGTTGGTTGGAACAGATAACCTGGCATCAGTAACATGTAACTGAGAAAGTGTGGCTGTTCAGAGACTCTTCTGGTTTTTCAATAAGGCAGTCAATCCAGAATATAATCTCTAACATCTACTGTTTAGATTGATCTAGAAACTCAGAAGCAGCACCAAAACTAAGAGCAGCTAAGGAATAGCAGATCGATATAGCGGCAGCTGATGCCACACATCCAACCGTCCGCATGTCTGCTTTTGTTTTGGCATTCCACACATCAGATTTAACAGCATCAACACTTTATCTGCACCAAATGTCAACAGACAGCCTCTCAGCACATTGCTAAGCGCATACGGTTCGGCTGCAGTTTTATTCTCTTGTTTCAAGGAAAATACTACAATGCATAATTAATCATGTGTGAACTGTTTGGCAACTTGTCTGTGGGTCTGTGAATCCCATTAAACCCTCCCTATGAAAGCAGTTCATTAAATCCCCTCCAGTTTGAATTTAAATCAATGTATTCAGCCATTAGAGACTGGCGTGCTCATAGAAAAGGAAGCAGCTGCTCCTAATTGGAGCTATTGGTTGATCTAAACGGAGACTCCAGTAGATGCAGCACAGGCCAAAGTGCTTCTATTAATTGCCTTTTAAATACACGCCACAATGAAGAGAGAATACATGCAACTGTTTCTTCAACTAATGTTACTTACCTTCATCAGCTGATGGCAATAAGAATGCAATCAATCTATTATAAATCACTCATACTCTAAATCTCTACTGAACATTATTTACATTTCATTTAAGCAACTGCTGCATGCAGAAAATGTGACGTTTTAATCTACAGAAATGCTTTAGAAACTGATACCAACCTAAAGAAATGAAGGAATTACTAAAATCAGTGCCGCAGCATCATGAAAGCCTGCTGATGTTGAGCGAAGGAGCGGGGGAGTGTCAAAGGCTTTACCAAATCCAAGCAAGGTTTTAAATAAATGCATGTCAAAAGGTTTTAAATTGACTTCTTCATTAGGAGCCCGTTAACACCGATTTCAGAAATACCAACCTTTAGAGGTGTACAATATTGCTTAGGATCAACATCCCATTGCTGCCTTCTGAGCACTGAAATAAACTGTAATGCCATTGATTGCTCACATGTCTAATATAGCTGTGTGATTCAGAACCAGAAAACCATTGAAGGAGAGCCAAAAAATTAATAAGTAGAAACCCAAAATAACCCTGGAAAAAAATAAAAAGATTTATTAGTTAGAATATACGGCTGTTTCTGTGCGGCTCAGAGACTTTGAACACATCGTCCAGGAGGTTTTCTTAACTTCCTGGTTGTTCAAACCAATTAGCTGTTACACTAAATCAAAGTTATCAAATTTGTTTTGGGTAAAAGGAACCAAAGAAA